AGTGATTAAAATGAATGTATTGCCTAGAATGTTATTTTTGTTTCAGACCTTGCAGATTCTTGACAAGATGGAATGCTTTAAGAGGTGGCAGAAAGATATCTCGAAATTTGTCTGGCAGGGCAAAAAGCCCAGAATTAAACTTAAAATATTGACAGATGCCAAAGAAAGAGGGGGTTTTGCCCTGCCGGACTTAAAATTGTACTATGAGGCAGCAGCTTTTTGCTGGCTGAAGGAATGGATGCTCCTCGAGAACACAGACATCTTGGATCTGGAAGGCTTTAACAATGTTTTTGGTTGGCATGCATATATATGGTATGACAAAATCAAGCAGCATAGTGCCTTTAAAAATCACATTGTTAGAAAAGCATTGTTTAATGTATGGATAAGGTATAAAGACCTGTTGGAAAACAAAACCCCTAGATGGGTGTCACCAGTTGAGGCTAAAGCAGTAAAGAAACTCAATATGGAGGTCGGATGGCCGAAGTATTGGGAAATTTTGGAACAGGATGGAGATAAGTGGAAACTACAAAGCTATGACAAATTGAAACATAAAGTACAAAACTGGCTTCAATATTATCAAATAATGGAGCTTTTCAAACAGGACAGGAAAATTGGCTTTCAAGTGGAAAAATCAAAACTAGAGTTTGAACTGTTAGAATCCAATACTAAGAATTTATCAAGAATGTATAACTTGTTGCTGAAATGGAATACACAGGATGAAACGGTGAAATCAGCTATGATTAAATGGGCACAAGATATTGGTCATGACATTATGTTTGCTGACTGGGAACAGTTATGGACCACCGGTGTTAAGTTTACGGCATGCAATGCCTTAAGAGAAAACATAATGAAAATGATTTACAGGTGGTACATGACCCCAGCCAAGCTTGCAAAAATTTACCATTTGCCCGATAACAAATGTTGGAAATGTAAAGAGACTGAAGGAACCTTCTATCACCTTTGGTGGACATGCCCGAAGATTAAGGCTTTCTGGGAAATGATCTATAATGAAATGAAAAAGGTACTTAAAAGTACTTTTCTTAAAAAACCAGAGGCCTTTCTCTTAGGCATTGTCGGCCAATTGGTGCCAAAGAGGGATAGAACCTTTTTCATGTACGCTACAACAGCAGCAAGAATACTTATCGCAAAGTACTGGAAGACACAAGATTTACCCACTCTGGAAGAATGGCAGATGAAAGTGATGGACTATATGTCACTGGCCGAGATGACAGGCAGAATCCGTGACCAAGGAAAAGAGATGGTGGAAGAAGAATGGAGAAAATTTAAAAGTTATCTTAAGGACTATTATAAACTTGATGAATGTTAGAATGTTATGGTTTTCAGAAACAAAGGGATACAGCGATATAAGGTCAGATTATAGAGATAACTAAGGACAGAGGTTGGAAAGTAATATTGGGAGTTGCTATAAAACTATGGACATTGGGATGCAGAAAGGGGGGGGTATGGGGGAGTCCCAGAAAAGAGGGTTATGAGAAACAATATGAAATTATGCGTGTTTGTATGTCTTTTTAAGTGTTTGTTTGTTTTTTAAAATTTTGTAAAACCAATAAAAATTTATGAAAAAAAAGAAAAAAAAAAGAAGGCAGCAGAGCGGAGGTGTTGTGTCTGCTCAGCTGCCCATGTTGAAATTCTGCTCAGTATTGATCCAGTCAACAATGTCTAGGCAACACAATGACCATATATATACATGTAATAGACAATCTTTATAGAATTCCTTCAAATCATAAAAAGGTCAAAATGAAATCTTTAGCCTCAAAGTCTCTGAAAATCTTCAAACGAGGCGAGGTACCAAACTTAGTACGGTGGAAGACAAGCTGTGAAGCTTTGTGTGTTCAACAATGATGCCCAACACTGAACAGTAATTCTGGATATTGACTACTGTTTCGTAGAATTCTTCATCAGCATGGTGGGTGGATATAGAATACTTCATAAACCCATCTTATTTCGAATGGATGTATATAAATGAAAATCTCAAATGCTGTGGAACGGCAGTGACTACATTATTACATGAGGCAATTATATTTCATCCAGCACTGCTTTACTGCTACTGAAGGCAAATGAACATAATGGTCACAAATGAAATATATTTGGTTGGCACTGTCCATAAGAAATCCAGTTGCAGCACTTAACTTAAACTTATAATAAGCCTAAAACCTTAACACTAAGCGTGCTATGCACACCACACCAGAAGGAAAAGAGAAAGAAAAAGTGAAACCTAGGCTCCTTCTGGCCTCTTATTATAGTCAGCATGACCTTGACAGAAGAGATAACCAGTTTAAACCAGCTGTACTCAGCTTCTCAGAAGGAATAACCCAAACATCACGAACCTTCTGCTTGTTTCTTTCACACAGAGAAGCTTCCAGAACCCTCTTGAATTAACTAGAATAGGAAAGATCTCCACACATCAGATCAATACTTTCTGTACTAAGAAAGGCAAACTGACAGGACCTTGCCTTGGGCCTTTAACAGTTTCTACTTCAGGTGTGACACTGGGCTGCATCCTGACTTCAGACTTGGATCGACTCTGAACCTCGTTTCCTGACTTTCGGCCTTCAACGTTGGATCTCGGGCTGTCAACCCTGTCAAAATCAACCCTCGGATTTTGGACTTGGTCTTGGCACACTGTCTGTCTGCCAGGGGGTCAGCACATATACTAATTATAATATGTGCGGATGCAGACTGTTTCTGTCGAATTTAAATGTGAGGAAAGTGGATGGACAGCTAAATAATGCCCAAATTTGGCTAGCATTAAAATGTGGCTAGCATTAAAATGGCCGCTCACTGGGTCCGGCGGTGGGCGGCTTTTGTGGCTTCCCCGTCTTCCTGAAGCCACACTGTTCCGCAGTGGCCCCATATTCCCTTTCGACCCTCACTTGCCTCAAACCCCCAGCAGGGGGCTGAGCGGGAGACACGCCCAATGCCTATGCCAAGGTTTCCTGCATCTGAAATTCAATAAAGTTGTGGCCATTTTAATCCCAAAAGATGTTGTCTGACTGATCCCAAAGTCTGGCTCCCAAAAGGGGGGGGGGGCTGTGCCTGGGTACACAATTATCTGCGCTGTTTAGCATTGCTGTTAAAGAGGAAACCGGCTTTCTCTAGAGAACGTGCTCAAAAACGCCACAAATACATCCATAGAGGGTAACTATAAAGCTAAAGGAGATCGAATGATAAGGCACAGATATGAACTCTTTATCTAGCTCTGATTTATATCTGCCTTCACAGTAAATTCTTTGTGGGCTGTTCACAACCACAAGAGACACACTAGCTCCATCTACTGGTATACAAAAATACAACAACTGCTGGGTTTATAATTGTGGTCTGTTATTAACGTCACTCCTGAATGTCACAGTCGTCAGGCTATATGTTTTTGTTTAGTGAAGACAGGGAGTGTCTGTACAGTAGCAACAGCCACGGCCAGTTTGGACATGTGTCTCCGCCTCCCCCCAGGACACGTCCTTTTTCAAGGGTGAAATTTCTGTCCAGTTGAATTTTTAACATTTGCCAAAGTGTCCCTGGCTATGCTTTCTGGATCCTGGCTATGTTTCTGGATGAGGCAGAGACATAACTAGTGGTTGAGAACTTGCTTTCCTCTCTCTTCTCCTTCCCCCATCCTCAGCAATATATCACAGCTTCTATAGCCTACATATAGTAGGGGTATTTAAAATGAGTCTCATCATAGCGCCCTCTTTTTTGCTCTTCAAAATATGGTAACCCTACACACACTTTTTCTCTTCAGGGGCTCAGGTGGTGAACAACGTTCTCCTCACAATGGCCTTGGTGAGGTAGGTTGAGAGACTGACTGGTAAAAGGTCACCCATCAAGTTTCAGGGCTGTGTGAAGCTAAACCGGAAGATTGGAAAAAGATGCATCAAATATTTATTTGTGATGGTGAGGTTTCAGCGGCCGTAGGCTGGGAGCATCAACCCTGCTAGCCTTCTTGTTGTCCCTCCTTACAGCATAGTTGGATGTCCAAGGCTGGTTGAAACTGAGCTCATGGTGGTTGCAGATATCCGTAAACTTAAAGGATGCAGTCAAGCAGGCCAGTGGAATCTATTCCAATCTGTTAACATGGCATAGCTGTCAACCGTCCCTTAGTTGGTGGGAAAGTCCCTTATCCCAGCACTGTGTCCCGCTGCTGCCCCTTATTGATGATGTCCCTTAAATTTCCTGGGTTTCAAAGGAAGCAGCTCCTCTCCCTCCCTCCCTGCCGGCCAGGGAGGAGGGAGGCTCCAACTGTGTTGCTTGGCTGCGTTGCTCACCCAATAAGGAGTCTAAGAATGACTGGGGGGTGGAGCTTGCATGCCTTGTGCCAATCAAATCGGCCGCGTTGCCTGGGGACTCGCCTTTGCTCAGCGCTTCCCAGCAGAGAGGTGACGGTGGTTTTCCTTGCTGCATCCCCTTTGCCGGGTTGCTGCGCTGTGGGATCCACCACTTGAGGCTTTGTTTGGCTGCTGGCTGGGCTTTCTGCCTTTGGCTTGGAGGGGCTCAGAAGTTGAACATATCTGTGCTTGGAAAATCCCTTATTTTGGCTGCTGGTCCCTTATTTTCAAATCTGTAAGTTGACAGCTATGTAACATGGCTCTGTAATCGGCAGTACAGCTTGCAAGACAGGCATGGGGACCCGACTGTCAAGTGTTTGGGAAGTGCAGTGCAAAGTGCTTTGCAAGCCCTGTGCTCAGCACGTCTCAAGCACCTGGGAACCAGCTTGTTCCTAGGTGCTTGGGAAGCACTTCTCACAGGGGCTTTGCAGGCCCAGCTGATTGGTGCTTGCAAAGCCCCTTTTGACCAACGGCCAAACACCTGACATCATATTTGACATCAGATGGGCGTGGCTTGCCCAAAATGGCCTTGTGGGCTATATGGGAGGCCTGGGAGGCTGGATTCAGCCCATGGGCCAAAGGCTCCCCAACCTTGTTGAAAAGGACCAGCTTATTGGTTTGTCGTCCCCCCCCCCCGGAAGTAATAGAAACAAAAGGAAGTCCACACAGCAGTAATATTTTATTGGTGTTTAAAATCCACGATTTATAAACAATAAGTTAAAGTAAGATTATTAAATAACAATTGGGGTTCCAGCCCCAGCACATATATTACATATTCATTGAATAAAACATTCTTTCTTAATTGTATAAAAAAGCTACTGCCAGGAGTCTTAGGAAAACATGTAAAAATGGCAAGGCAAGCAATATTTACAAATGTTCTTCATTATGAGGGACACCCTCATTTGCTGAAGCTTGACCCAGTTCAGGGTCTGTAAAATTCTGCAATGTCAAAAATGACCTCTCTGGTCTAGCTATGCTCTGAGTTTTGCCTTGTACACACCACGTATTATACCACAACAGGTTTTTTTGTTGTTTATTAAGGTGCATAACAGAATTTAGCCACCTTATCATTAAAAAAATTGGCAGCTGAAATACTGTCAGCAATCTACACAGAGAGTCAGACAAATATAGTAGAACCAGTCCTTTGGGCAGCAACCGGGAGTGCAAATGCCAACATGGAGGAAGGATGGTTTTTGTTGAAATAATATTCATTCGTGAACCCTGTTAAAAATGCAGCGCTCTTATCTCAACAGCACCTGTGGAATGACAAGTCGTACGAAGCCAGAGACAGCTAAACCTTGGAATTAAAAATCAAAACGATTTTTTTGTTTCCATTCTGCTTCTTTTCAAAATACTTTCCCCGTTGCTGCTTTTCAAAGTTGGTAGAAAATGCCAGAAATTGTTTATATTTTAACTCCCCACCCCTTCACCTTACATTTAATCCTGCCTTTCTTCCCATCATGAAGCCCAAATTATGGCGGTACCTCATACTTGAGTTTCTCACGCAGATACCCATTTAGACACTGTGGAGCCCCAGACCTCCTGAGCTCCAGCCAAGTGGTGATGGCCTCATGGGCCTCCCTGCAAGCTACTACTCAAGCAACAATCTGCTCTATGCCTCAACAAGACATCATTGTGAGGTCAACAAACATATGCTCAATTGCCTGCTCTTCTGAGTTGCTAAGCTGCCTTAAACAAACTGGACCAGCTTCATTGTAGAAGCAGTCCAAATTGTGACAATATCTTAGAGACACCAGTGAAGCAGTTCTGGAATCTGCACGTGATGTCCCCCAGCAACCTTTGAGACATTGCAAACTTCTCAGATATTATGGCACATTCAGAGCCATTTGGGAATGGGAAAATATATTTGGCTGTTCCTGTGGACAACTCACTGTCTCTTGACCTGGGTGATGACACCCAGGAAGTCCCTGGGATTGTTGCTTTTGATTGCCCTCAAACGGTTTCCAAATTCAGGTTATGACAAAGGCTTGTATCTTAGACATGTTTTTTTGTCTTTAAAAAACAAACAAACCCTGACATTACACCCCACAGAGATCTAAACGCACATAATGAATCAATAGGGCAGCACAGTTGTCCTGAAATCTCATTCAATTAAATGAGTCTGAGTTGTTTTTCTGGATGGCACGTTAGTAGCCAATTTAAAAACCTTACCAAAAAACCCCCGCACCTACTGACAAAATGAAATACTGACTCCTGTAGATAAGGCCACATGTATATTACATTGGCTGGCTAAAACACTCCTTATTTAAATGTTAAATATTGAAGAGCTTCCCCACTCCACCATGGGAGAATGTGTGTTGTTCAGTGATGGTTTCCGCTTCAGACATAGCGACACAAATGTTAATGAATTGACCTGATGTTAAGTCCAGTCAAGGTAGCCACCAAAGAACCGTCAACTCCAAAACAAGGCTTGGCGTTTCAACGGCCTGTAACATTCTTTGACTTAGTTTCCATGCTCCATGCTCCATACTCCATGGAAAGCTGCCATATCTTCATTTAGGAAGGTAGGAACTTTTGAAATGGATGCCGTTCATGTGGGTTTCGATCCAGCGAAGGTAATTTGCGACTCTCGTGTAGACGCCAGGCCTCTCTTTGTCAGCACAGCCGTCGCCCCAGCTGACGATCCCATATAGCACCATCCTGTCACTGCTTGCACAAACCAGGGGACCGCCGGAATCTCCCTAATGGGACGTAAGAATGATGGTGAACATTTAAAGAGAAGAAAGCTGGGGAAAAGCACATCTCAGGAATTCTGCTACCACTGTGGTTGCACTAGTGCCCTAATTTACAGTAATGGGACACAAGGAAAGGAAGTGGCCATGGCAGTAAGCTCTAGCATAGCCGTTCTCAAACTTGGGTCCCTAGATGTTGTTGGGCTACAACTCCTAGGTGCCAGGACCTGTGGTCAGGAGTGATGGGAGTTGTAGTCCAGCAACCTTTGGGGACCCAACTTTGCAAAAAGCTGCCCTAGCATCAAGGAATCCTCCTTCAACAGATTCCAGATTACAAAGGAGCTGGCTTAGCCCAGCGGAATAAATAGGATTGTGTTCCTTGCCTCAAACATGTATCTTGCAAGATGTTTGGTGTAGTGGGATATTAAATTCTAAATCTTCAGATGTGCATTAGGCCTATTCTAAAGAAAGGGACTGCATTAGCCAGACCATTCTGTTGACATAAAATGTAGACATTGTGCACAAGGAAACTTACTTTGCATGAATCTGTCTGCCACGTTTCATCTCCAGCACAGAACATGTTGTCCGTCACCCTGTCCTTGTAGTATTTCTTACACAAAGACTGGGGTATCAGGTTGACATTGGTTGATTTCAGGATCCTTGCGAAGTAAATGTCAGCTGCAAACCAGAAATGTGACAGTTGGTTGGGCTATTTTTCTCAGTCAAGTCTAAAGTGATCTTCTTCATTGCAAAAACAAAGCAACGTCAGAGCCTGCCTCACTGAATAGCCTCATACACGAAACCCAAATTCCTCTTCTTCAGTCTAGCGGATAACGGCGCACAAACTAAATTATGCAAACCAAACACAGCACAAAGTTTTTTGTATGTAGAATATGACTTTGTTTGTTGCAGAACCAGAGCTGTAGTGGAGCTGGGTGCACAGAGCACATGCAACCTTAGCGATTGGCCTCTAGCAAGGTTCAAAAGCAAGGATGGGGAATTTGTGATACTCAAGGTGTTGTTGAATTCACAACTCCCAGTCAGCATGACCAGCAGTCAGAAATGATGGGAGTTGTAGTCTAGCAGCTTCTGGAAGGCTAATGGTTCCTGATTCCTGATCAAGAGAGTGCCGGTAACACATGCCACACAACCTGCATTAGGAATGGGTATGGTGTCTGTCAACTTACTCTTGTTTTCTCTTCCATAGCCAGAAACTTCACACTGGAAATTGTCTGGAAATGAGTCTTGCGATGGCAAGCAGGTGGTCTTCACAGTGTCTGACTCTTGTGCACACTGGCCAGAAGATGACCGGATCCTCATCAGGGCTAAAGAAGGAATAAAGAATGCATGTCATATAGGGAACCTTCTATCACTAAACTCATTAGAAACAGAATAATATATATTTAGAGCTATCCGTTCCAGCTGCTTTTCCAGACGACATATGATTGTACAGTGGTACCTCTGGTTACGTACTTAATTCGTTCCGGAGGTCCGAACTTAACCTGTAACTGTTCTTAACCTGAAGACCACTTTAGCTAATGGGGCCTCCTGCCGCCGTGCCGCCGGAGCACGATTTCTGTTCTCATCCTGAAGCAAAGTTCTTAACCCAAGGTAATATTTCTGGGTTAGCGGAGTCTGTAACCTGAAGCGTATGTAACCTGAAGCGTTTGTAACCCGAGGTACCACTGTAGTCATGTTACTGCATTTACTTGTATGCATACTCCCTACCTCCCGCTGATAATTAAGATTGCGAGATCTGATAAAAATGTAGCTTAAAATTGACTCTTTTATTATGTTCAGTGATTAATAGAGTATTTTAATGACAATAATAAAAAGTATATGTACTTTGTTAATGTGCATCTCCCCTCACCCCTTTTAATTTGCTATTATTTATATGACTGGTATAGTTTACTTGTTTGTTTTTTCCATAAATGTTACATTAGTATTTCATATAACATATTATATGATTCCCCATTCCCCCCGCCTTATGTATTGTATATTTTTCTTTGCTGTAAGTCGCTTGAAGACCTTTGGGTGACAAGCAACTAATAAGTTTGATAAATGATAAATAAAAATAATTTGTTTAACCATAGAAACACATCGTAAGCATTTCCAGGACTGGCTAGAGATAGTGAAACATCGCCAACCCAGGAAAAATTAATCTCTTGACTGCCTCAGTGAGAGAAGAAATCATCTTCCCTGACTCTCAAAGTATTTTCCTTACAATGATCTGATAGAGCACCCACCCCCAAATGTTTGGTGAAAGAAGATAGCTCATTCGTACCTGTATATTTTCCCAAGCTATCATCTGCAGTCATTTTTGTATCGTTTGCAAATATGGGGATGATGTCATGACAATGAAATACGAGGTGTTTTGCTGTAAGGCTGTGTAACACACTATAATTTTAAGGCACATTTGAAGCACATTCGTTCCGTCAAAGGATTCTGGGTGCTGCACATAACTCTGTGAGAGGTAAACTACAATGACTAGAATTCTTTGACAAAAAGAACTGGCTTCAAATGTGCTTTAGAAGTACACAACCTACACCATTTCTCACTAAAATGGGCCCTTATTTTGCAGCAGTACTTGGGTGAAACATTTGTGCCTCAGTTTTTTGCATGCTCAGGTAAAACATGTCTATGATTCAGGAGGGAAGCTGGAGATGTCACTTACCAATATCATTATTATAATCCGTTCTCTGAAGTGTGTAGTCCTCATGAATGACAACCCTATCAACATTAAATTTTTGCTCCTTCGTATCATCAGTGTACAATTCAGACTTCCCAAGAATAACAGTCAGCTTGGATAGGTCAGGAGTGCTGAAAATAAATGAAAACATTGATTAGGGGGAAATTTATACAGAGGCATATCTCCCCACTCTCACTTTCACATTTGCTCAGTTTTCTGCCTCAGTCACAAGAGAACAGAAACATAATTTTGCAGTCCTCTTTCTTGTTTGAGCCTCATTGTTTTGCTAGGTGAATGGCGGGGCTTAAAATTTAACATGTCTCCTAGCACGTGTAGCTATTCTGTCTTAAAAATACAGACATTTGAGGACATCTCAATTTGAACCAGCAAATCATGAGCATATATCAACACAAAACTTTTTTTTATAGAAAAGGATTGCTTTTTACAACAGACTGTTTCACATTCCAAAAAGTTCTAAAGCACTTCTTCAAATATATCAATTTCATATATTTCTTGGTAAACAAAGATATAGCAGTAGCAATATCTTACAATTTAATAAATCACTTTCTAAACTTTGCATGGTTTTTTTAATAGGTTTTCCAGTATTTAGGATGCAATCCTATAACAATTTATAAGACTCAATGGGTCTTCCTTTTGACTAACATGCACAGGCTGCCCCTAACCATGTCCACTCAGAAGTATGTCCTATTGAATTCAATGGCGCTTACTCCTTGTGTATCATATGGGTACATTCCTTCTTGTCTAGAACAACATTTGTGGATGTGAGTTAAAATGTGTTTGTATAGGATTGTGAAATTTAGCATACAGATGGGTTTTATTAACTGAGAGAAAAAAAGTCTTTGGTAACAGAAAAAGTCGCCAATTTTTTAAAGCTAGCCACACAAAAGTACTTACAAGTACTGCACCGGCAGGCAAATATTATTTATAGCTATCAAGTGGCTGTTACAATATAAACGCCAAAAGAAAATATACAGTGGTGCCTCACAAGACGAAATTAATTCATTCCGCGAATTTTGTTGTCTTGTGATTTTTTTCGTCTTGCGAAGCACAGTGTCGGAAAAGTTTTGGAAAAGCTTCAAAAATCACCAAAGTCTTCAAAAATCTCAAAAAAGGCTACTACACCGCGTGCTATGAGTTGCTCCTCAAAGTCAAGTCGCAACTGTATTAACGGTGTTAAGAAAAAGGAAACAAACTTGCAAGACGTTTCCATTTTGCGAAGCAAGCCCATAGGGAAAATCGTCTTGTGAAGCAGCTCAAAAAACAAAAAACCCTTTCGTCTTGCGAGTTTTCCGTCTTGCGAGGCATTCGTCTTGCGAGGTACCACTGTATGTAAGTTCAGCAATTGATCTAGGAGAAAGATAACTTCTGCAAGTGCAGCTGAAACTTACACACTTACAGTGCAAACCTATGCAGAATTCAATAAGCTAAGTATGTGTAGGACTATAACCATGGACTGTAATACTAAACCCACTTACTTGACAGGAACCTTCGCTGATTTTAATGGGACTTAACCCTCAACAATCCTAAGACAAGGCTATTCGTCAATTTTGTCATTGAGGAAAAAGCTCTGGGACCTTTATTATATATTTTTAGGCGCCAGGCGAAAACATTCCTCTTCAACCAGGCCTTTGACTGATTAATATTCTATTGCCAACATTGCCTAGCCATGGGAGTCTTTTCCTAGCCCTCCCTGCAGAAGGAGCATGAAACCTTTTGCACGCAGAGCATATGCTGTACCATTGAGCTAAAATCCCTCCCTTTCACAGTATGGGATGTTGACTAAGGGATCTCTTATCTAGAAAACAATTCCAAAGCGGAGAATTAAAAGGAAAAAGTTGATTGTGAAGCACTTACTTGCTTCCGAAGCAGTGTGCCGCTGTCAGGACCCAACACGGATCTATGAGGCTGCCGCCACAAAGAAACTGACTACCTCCTCTCTTATCGGTGTGGTAGATGGTTGCTATCCAAGGCTGAGACTCGATGGGTGCTTTGAAACCGCCCACAATCTTGAAGTACTTGCGGAAGCTCCTCTGGCCACATGTGGCTTCTGTAAAAGGAAGAGAGAGCCTCAAGAATTTGCCCCAGTGAAGAACAAACATAGCTTTAGCTCTTCACAATAAAGACTAGGTCCTCAGGGTAGCAAGATCCCCGTGAAGATCTGCAAAGTTTGGCTGCCCCTCACAAATCTCTAGGCCAAGATTAAGGTCTGATCAACACCTTCCGACCGATGATATGGAAACATCCTTCCTGAATTTGTACTGCTAGGACTGCAGGTGAGGGGACATATATAGAAGACGAAGAAGAGTTTGGATTTGATATCCCACTTTATCACTACCCGAAGGAGTTTCAAAGCAGCTAACATTCTCCTTTCCCCTCCCCCCCCCACAACAAACACTCTGTGAGGTGAGTGGGGCTGAGAGACTTCAGAGAAGTGTGACTGGCCCAAGGATACCCAGCAGCTGCATGTGGAGGAGCGGAGACGCGAACCCCGTTCCCCAGATTATGAATCTTCAGCTCTTAACCACTGCACCACTCTTAATGCTCCCTCTGCATAGAATGCTCGCACACTGGGGAACAGGCTAAGCAAAAATCCTTCTACTGAACATGCTAGCTGTCTACTGACAAATTATTTTTGTCTGCTTAACTTGCCAAAGTTAGTATCTGGCCCAGAATAGGCATTTCTTCGGCTTGCAGTGCTTGGCTTCATTATGAACTGGTTTTTGTGTACCTTGCTTTGATTTCAAAAGTTTGTAAGCATCTGGCACTCTAAGTAATAATATACCTTTTCGGCATGCGTCGATTTTGCAGGATGTTGAAGAGGTTCGATAACCATTCCTAACGTAACACCACGGTTTGGATCGACCATCTGGATTTCTGAAAAACAATGGAATATTGCCTTCAAAAGAATGATCCTCAGTAATACCAACACCCACCTGCAGGGGGCGGCAGAATGCCTCCACTTCATGTAGGTCATATTACAGTATGCAGAAGTCATCCAGTTCACCTATATTCTTAGTAATGCTAGTTAAATGTTCCTTCAGGGCACTAATCCTGCAAACTACCAAGTATAACTATTGGCAACATTGAATAGAACCCTTGAACCTGGCATAGTTGCCTAAAGAAGGGATTTCAGTAGGTGGGGCAAGGTGCCCCAGGCAAAATAACTTTTTTGCTCAACTATTTGTTATACTAGGGACGCGGGTGGCACTGTGGGTTAAACCACTGAGCCTAGGACTTGCTGATCAGAAGGTTGGCGGTTCGAATCCCCGTGACGGAGTTTGCTGCTGTTGCTCGGTCCCTGCTCCTGCCAACCTAGCAGTTCAAAAGCACGTCAAAGTGCAAGTAGATAAATAGGTACCGCTCCAGCGGGAAGGTAAACGGCGTTTCTGGTTCGCCAGAAGCAGCTTAGTCATGCTGGCCACATGACCCGGAAGCTGTACACAGGCTCCCTCGGCCAATAAAGCAAGATGAGCACCGCAACCCCAGAGCCGGTCAATAATAATAATAATTAATAAATTTTATTTATATCCCGCCCTCCCCAGCCGAAGCTGGGCTCAGGGCGGCTAACAACAATCACTTAATGGACTTAATGGTCAGGGGTCCCTTTACCCTTTACTTTTTATTAGTTATACTTTGTCCTTGTAACCCAAAGTACAAGTTATCTTATAGTAGAAGATCTAGTCATTCACCACAGCTGATGTTCTTTGTGGAATGCCAATCAGATGATTTGATGCATTATTGACACATGGCAACTGTGGAACTATGGGTTGGGGGAGAAATGAAAAATAGGGCAGCTGGACCTATGGCAGTACACTCCGTTGCATTTCACTTACCTGCAGAAGTTGTGCTTTCCTAACCCAAGTTTCATGGCATTCTCCATGCCATCATGATAAGGCCATCTCTGCAGCGAAGGGGAGTCCCAGTCCAGGCACCTGTCACCTTTCTCATTCACCGACAAAGTCCCTCTGTAGTCCTCCCCGTTGTCTGTATAGCAGCGACTTTCAGCATCTGTCGAGAAAACAAGAGGATTGTCAGTGCTGATGGAAAACTGGCAGCTGAGATGTTCCATGGAGTCCACTGAGACGAAGGATTTTTATCATGTTAAATCTGCTCATTGACTTGCCAGTGCCAGGATGTTATTGCCAACGTGTCTATACTTCTCTGCATTTCATTTCTCTCTGACTTTGGGGTTGACAGTCCCACCCCACCAACCATATGTTTGTAAAGGTAAAGGGACCCCTGACCATTAGGTCCAGTCGTGGCCAACTCTGGGGTGGTGGCGCTCATCTCACTTTATTGGCCGAGGGAGCCGGCGTGTAGCTTCCAGGTCATGTGGCCAGCATGACTAAGCCGCTTCTGGTGAACCAGAGCAGTGCACGGAAACGCTGTTTACCTTCCCGCCGGAGCTGTACCTATTTATCTACTTGCACTTTGACGTGCTTTCGAACTGCTAGGTTGGCAGGAGCAGGGACCGAGCAACAGGAGCTCACCCCGTTGCGGGGATTCGAACCGCCGACCTTCTGATCAGCAAGCCCTAGGCTCTGTGGTTTAACACACAGCACCACCCGCGTCCCTAACCATATGTATATAAACCTATAATTCAGGGAAGCGCTTCACACATTTCATGAAGTGGGCCCCATGAGATTTTGCTGTTTTGCTTCAACAGACTAACATGACCCTGCCTCTGGATTCTGGAACTATAGGGCCAGATCCAGCAAACCAATTCCACTAGTGGAAGCCAGCTCAAGGGCTCCCACTAGCACAACAGGGATTTTTCTGCTCTCCTCCCCCTGCACCCCCCATGCTTCCTCCAAAACTGCTCTGGAAAGTTGGGAGAACCCACAAAACAGTGGACAGGAGCGGGGAGGGAGAGGGTCATCATTCCATCAAGCAAGCAGATGATTGCGCAGGTGGAACAATTGCCTTAGTGCTGCACTGATTTTTACTCTACCTTTTCAGGTACCAGTTCTCAGCCCTCAAACCCAATCTCTTGTTTCTTTTTTTTGAGGGGGGAGTGTTCAGAGTGGCTTTGTCTGTTCCGGAAAACTGGAGGATTTATTGGTGTTCTTTAATTTCTAAAGGCCGTGAGCTTTTGGGTAAAAACAGAAACAAGTTTTGAAGTGATCACCTACCGATTTCACAGTGGTCCCCACTATATCCTTTGGGGCATAAGCAACGCCTCATTCCAGAAAAGAGGTAGTAGGAGACACAGGTTCCTCCATTCAGACAGGTGCAACCTGCAAACAAGACATTGCGGGGAAATTGTAGTATGTCACACTGTAGGCCAAACATCGCATTACGTCCAAATGCGTAGCAAAACTTCAGTGGGCCCCTTCTTCAAGGACAGCCTTCCTCATCCTATTGCCCTCTAGATATTTTATGCAACTCCCATCAGCCCCACCCAGAAGACTGCTCTAAGAAAAAGAAGCTTCGGGAAGAAAGACCTTGGAGAAAGATGTTACTTTAAATTTAGATAAGTTATGTATTGCTTAAAATTTCTGGAAGAAGACAGAGGGAAGAGAGGTCCCCAATTAAGATGTTTCTGCTGCAGATTCCCCAATCGTTGCCTTTCCTTCCATAGGAATCATAATGTTTCTTTGAGAGAGGGGAATTGCCAGGAGACATTGCAGCGAGAAAGCAGAGGGTGATGAAAGGGTTAAGCGGTGCTATCTCAAAGAAGGGGCTATCAAAGGTTCATTACATGTGCAAAACAAGGAATTTGGCACTTTGTCAAAGAGCAGCAGAAGTTTTCAGATGTCAACAAGAAGCTGCGAATATTTATTTACCTTTATGTTCATATTTAGCTTTGCTTCCCAGCTTGCGATCTTTCTTCCGGTGGTGAAACTAAGAGGGAACAATGAGAGACACAAATTATTCTAAATGAAAAATAAGGAAGCATTATTTATATGAAGCAAATCTTAAATAACTCCCCCTCCCTTTATTTTCATTTCCCTCATAAGAACCCTGAGAGGTAGGGCAGTTTCTTACAGATGATTTCGCCAAGCTTTAGGGTGTAAAGCAGGGCTAACCAACATGGTGTTCTCAGTTCGTGTTGGACCATTATCCCTGACCACTGTCCTTACTGGTTGGGGCAGATGAAAGCTGTAGTCCAATCATATATAATGGGTGGCATCTGCAGATGTGTACTGCTGTGCATTAAATCAGGGGTAGCTTGGACTACATGTATGTGTTCCATAATTCTTATAAAATAATTTTGTGGAGGAGAGACTTTCTGCAGCTAAGTCACATAGCGTGGGGCAGGCAGAATCATATCTAATCTTCTATTATCTAAGAGAGAAGCAGGCAGAAGGGCGAGGTGGAGGAGGAAGCAGAAGAACCAAGGGTTTGGGAAAGAGCTAGACAGTTGCTTGAAAATGCAAGGGGAGAAGGGATAGCTTTAAATGGCAGGTGAGAAGAAGCAGTCCAGAGGAAGAAGTCTAGTTTGTGTGTGTGTTGTACGGACTGGGAGATGGAAAGGGCAGAGAGGTGATCAAAAGGAAGGAAACGTTGAGGTACACGTATTGCTTTGAAATAAATATGTAAAAAAGTACCGTATTTTTTGCACCATAACACTCACTTTTTTCCTCCTAGAAAGTAAGGGAAAATGTCTGTGCGTGTTATGGAGGAAATGCCTACGGGAGGCATGCCTACGGATTTTCCTCCTCTAAAAACTATGTGAGTGTTATGGTCGGGTGCGTGTTATAGAGCGAAAAATACGGTATTTATCAGGTTATATATCCCAGAGTACAACCTCCTGCACGTACCAGCAGTAACCAAAAAAGAAAGACGTTGCTAAAAATAGGTTTGGGCCATGGGTGAAAGAGGAAGCTTTGCATTTATGGTCAAACATGGAAATATGCACAAGCGCTTGTCAGTTGGAGTTCCTGCCACGGTTGCAAAACTTACTGATGCTATGTCTGTGACGAGAACACTCAGCATTACAGAGATGGTGATGAGTAACTTCATGGCGTTGGGCAAGAGGTTCCTATTTCCACCAGTTTGGTTCACTTCCTGGGTCCTTCTTTACACAGGTTTCTGCAAGCAAAGGAATAACCACAGGTTTGTAATGTGGAGCAAAGATGGGACCAAACTGGTTTCCCCCCCATTCTTTCCAACTTGAATAGCCTTTCGTTGGCGAGGGGATGTGTTAAGCTGCCTTTCTCTCTCCCTGTTCCAAACTCAGGTTGAAGCTGAGGGTGTCTATCAAGGGAGAACCATCAGCAGGATGGTGTCTTCAGGTCCCACCTGTCTGGTCCTCCTTAATCCTTCCTGCTTCCTTCTCTCCAACAACCTGGTAGCAAACAGGGTGATCAACACACAAGGCTCTTCTGATCCACCACAGTGGCCCCAGCCCTGGTCCTAGCTCTGGAGGCAGATGTGAGTTTTTCCCGGAAAGTTGAAGGTATTCTTGCCCATCGTCCTACGATGCACCACTGGTAAACAGGTTTCTGTAGTGTTCTGAAAACCTGCTTGGCCAGAAATTATAATGGAAATGTGTGTACACCGAGAGCAACATTATCAGTATCAAGTTGCCTTTGATTCTATCGTCTGTCGCCAGCCTGTTGTCTAATCACAAGAAATAAGCATAACAGGCAATTCGTGGTGCAATTTCTCCCCCTTTCCACAAGACAAAACCCTGCTCTTTATACCTGGATTCCTCCCTCCGTTTTTGCATTTTGAGGAAATAGTGTTCTCTTGAGCTCTGTTTTTGCCGGAATGATTAGAGAAGAGCTGCACTAATGCAATACCCCTGTTCCAAATATGTGATATGAAAATGCCCCATTGATGTCTGTGAAACATACTCCTACCTAAGTGGCATTTTGGATTATTACACTGCGAGGGTGTAGTAATGTAGATATAGTCAGAAAATCATTCCTTGGTCAAGTA